TTTGTTTTTGCTATAGGGTGCATGAGCTCCCCAGAAACACAGAGAGAGACAGAGAGATAGAAAGCGAGAAATCACCCCCCAGGGGGGATGGCCACACCACAATCCCTTCTCCATTCTCCTCTCGGGATCTTGGGCACGCACGCGCACGCAGGGTTAAACCCCCCGGGTCGGAGACTCAAACCGTGGTCGACTACATGGGAGTCCAGCGACGTAGCCATTACGCTAACTGCTAGTCCCTCTTAAAATTAAATTTTAACATGTTCCCAAAGTAAAATCTTAGTGAAAGGGGGGAGAACAGAGACTATGAACTTAGAGAAGTTACCCTACATGATCCAATGATTATTTTCAAGATTTTTGCCATAGGCATATGTGCTCACTGGAGAGACAGAGACAGTGAGGGGGGGAGTAAGGAATCACTGTTCAGGGGGCATGGCCTTCTCCTCCATTCTCCTTCTGGGATTTGGGGCATACACACACATGCACCCGGTGTGATTCCCAAGCTGCCAGAGCTGGGACTCCAACCACAGTCAACCATGTGGTTGTCCGGTGCCCTAACCACCACGCCCTCTGCTGGCCCCCATGATAAAATCTTTTTCATCGCATTACCTACACCGATTTTAGGGAAAGCAGTAATGGGCAGAAGATAATCAAAGGGACTTAGCGTGTTAAAGACTGATGAAAATAAGATTGGGGGAGGGAACGAAACCTAACCATGTCATTGAAAGATGTGGTGTTATCTTGATGGAGATGAAAAGGTACCCAAGAGATTGGAGGCAAAGGAACCACCGTCAGGGCAGAAGATAAAGGCACAGTGTGGTCTCTCCTCTTCTGGATTTTACGTTAACTACTGTGGGCTCAGGAACTGGCCTAATGACTTTTCCAGGATTTGGTCTGGCTCTTTATCAGTTCACTCTAACAAGAACAAGAGCCAGGAAAGCCTGAAAAATGGCTGCAGCAAAACATGCCCTCCTACCAGGCTGCTATTACAACGCTGCCCAGTCAGGGTGGAGTCCTGGGTGCTGGAGTCCGAGGATCACTCCTAAAGGTCAGATGAATAAACGCCAGTCCGGAAAGCAGGGAAGCAGAAGGGGGGTGGTCTCCACATAGCCATTTTCTCTCTTTGCTCATGCTGTTTTGCTGCTGTAAAATGCTCAGTTAAACCTAATTGAATCTGACAATAATAAATTACATATTGAAACCGTAGCGTTCACCTAAGGAATAGCAATGAAAACAGTGAAGACACCAGAAGCCAGAGTTCAGGAAATGTCATATTCACATCGAAATGCTTTACATTTTTTCTCAGAGAGCTTTATGCTCTCTCTCTCTTTTTCTCTGTCTGTCTCTCTTATTTTTTTTTTTTTTAAGAGAAAGCTCCAGACCACCCAGTGCACAAAGTCTTTTTTGGAAACTGCATATAAAGTCGCTTGAATTCAGTGCTAGCCCCTGTTGCCATACTGTGGCTGTAAGCCTATAAATAAAGAAGGAAGTGAGCTGTCAGAAGTAAAAGAGCAAGGGACCAGCAGTTGGCGTAATGGCTGTGTCACTGGACTCCCATCTGGCCGACCACGGTTCGAATCCCGGACCCGGTGCCTTAAAGCCCTTAAAGCTCACGTGTGTGTGCGTGCCCAAGATCCCAAGAGGAGAATGGAGGAGAAGGGATTGCGGCGTGGCCATCCCCCTTGGAGGGGGGGGGGGGATTTCTCGCTTTCTGTCTGTCTCTGTCTGTCTGGCAAGCACATGCGCCCTATAGCAAAATCCTCTCCCCAAAATAAAAAAAAATTTAAAAAAAAGAAGTAAAAGAGTAAAATAGATGAAGTCCTGCTTCTCTCTCATCTTTGGGAGCTGATCACACCCTTGTGGAGGGGGTTTCTGGGAATTCAAACTTTTTTTCAAAGAGAGTTAAATATAAAAAGGAACATCTCTGGTGGCCTTAGATTGTCCCCTCTGCCCCCACAGTGCCAGCAGCCCTCTGTCTGAGCACAGCGGTTCTTGACTTCCTCGTGAGAGTGTGGTTTCCAGGATCTGATTCTCCTAAGGCCAGAGGAAGCCTTATTTAAAGAAGCATTTCTTCCAGAGAGGAGTACACTTTCCCACCCAGACCATCCCCACGCTATCCTTCCAGCACGCCCTGTGCCCCTAGCTTGCAGCATGAACAGCACACTTACTGTGTCTTTTTTATGAATGACACAAGAAGAAGAAGTAAGAAATTCCTTCAGGAACAGTTAAGTATAAAACAAGCTGGGATGTCCTTAATCTTTCCTTAAAAGTTGACAGGGACACACAACATATTGACTCCTCTCTCCGTGTCAGCCAGTAGCAGCTGGCACAGAGAGCCGCTATTTTGTTCTGATGGGACCTCATCCCTTTCTTTCCCAAGGTCTCTTGGTCTAATTAAATTTCAGGGAGACAGAGCCTTGGCAGAAGGTTAAAGGAAGCTGTTAGACTGCACTGTAGGGGCTGAGCTCAAAACTAAATTGGGAAGTTTAACTGGGCGCGTCTCTGGTTTCAATGAAATACTTTTACAGCTCCTGGTAGCAAATGTCTTGTTTCGAAGCTTTTGAAAAAAACCATTTTTCTTTTTCCTTAATTGTAGTTCCCTGGTTGTTTTTATATTATGAGCTACTTGTAGAAAAATACAGGAAACATAATTACAATACAGAGCTCCCTTTCCCAAGCCTACTGAGATCATTGGAAGCCAAACTGGGTTTGAGGGTTTTGCAAACTCGAAGTTCACAGCCATGAATTGCATCCTCTGCAGTGTTGGTTGATTTACAGCCGGTGTTACGTGATTAAACAATACCACGTTTCTCCAAGCCCCAAGCCCCGTGGCTGCTGTAGAACTGAGGGAAGGGGGCTCGGGCAGGGTTGCTTCACGACTCCACACGGCACAGCTCTCCTCTGGGGAAAAAGAATGAATATCTTTGTGTGACGCTTAGAGTAAAATAGGAGCATTGTGGAAATATATACAAGCTTATTTAGGGGAAGGAAAGAGAAATCAATTACTTCGGTTGTTTTTCCACCTATTTTTTTTTTTTTAAGCTCCACAGGGCACCATCTTCAAATGGTAATTACTACCTTTTGTATCCAACCTTTCCTGAAGACTTAGTGGACTTTAAAGGGCCGGCAGAAAGAACGGGTTTTACTATTATTAACACTCTGGGGAGGAAATCAGTACTTCAGTCAATTGTGAAATGCAAGCCTTTGAAAGACTCCTGATGCACAGTTGAGGAGGATTTGCTGCTGAGTGTACTCTGCTGTGTGTGCTCTGCCGGGTGCAGTTTCCCGCAGACAGTTAGGCTTCAGGAGGGTGGAGACACCTCTGTTGTGAGCACCTAGCAGTCAGCCCCAGCCTTTCCCTCCACGAGTCTCGAACTCTCACCCACCGAGTTTCAGAGAAGTCTGCAGGAATAATAGGGACAAGCTTTCAATTGCTTCATCCTCTGTTATTTTCACTTGATGTACCCGGGTTTAGGCTCTCCTTGGGTCTTGTGGGTAACCAAAACAGAACATCTGAACCCAGAATGTGTCACCTGTTAAGGATGGATTATTTTCATAACTGCCTTCACAGTCTCCCATTTATTTTTTTAAAGAATTATTTTTATGTGACTTTATTCCTTTTTATTTATTTTATTCTCCTACTTATTTTGAGAATTCAGATCTGTTGTTCTGTCCAATGAATACATAGGTATGGAAAAGCTAAATGTTTCTCTCACTTATAAATAAATATATATATATGTATATATATATATGTATATATATATTTCAAAGTCTTTTTCTTTCTTTCTTCCGTCTCTCCCTTTCTCTTTCTCTCTCCCTCCTTTCCTGCCTTCCTTTTTTTTGCAACTCATCCTGAAATTCTCATCTGCGTCATCATCTCTGTCAGTCTTCTAAGGGTTGTAATAATTCCGTGGAAGAGTTAGGGGCGGGATACAAGATTCATCTTCTCCACTAGGCTGGTGTTTCTGGCCTCCCTCCTTTGGAGGAAGTCTCTCATACATGGAAATGACCTGCCTTGGCTCCCCTAAAACTCTCCCCAATGCCTCCTCTTCCCTACCCCTCTAAAACCAAACGGGCAGAGTGAGAGCAAAGTCTAAGAGTCTTGGGGGGCTCTTTTTACTATTGGGCAAAGCCCTGTCCTTTGAGTTGAGAATGAAGCAAATGGCAGCCCCAGCCTCTTGTAGAGGAGTTGGCAGTTCTCTTGAAAAATAACTTGACCCTCCATCGGAGCTGTTAGGAAACACCAACCCGCGGAGAAGGAAAGGCCGGACTGTAGCTGAGGAGGTTGCTGGGCGCTCTGATCTGAATAGCCTTTTCAAGCTGCCGATTGCCACTTCCAGGGAGTCCTGGAACGCGACAAATGTTAGGTTATGGGGCCCTGTCCGCGCTGCTTCGTGACACTTCAGTTTCGCTTTTAAGAGCGTGTGGGTGCGCTGGGGGCATCGCCAAGTGTCTCGTCTTTCGTCTTTACGGTGGGTCAGAAAAGTTCGAGGCCGGCCTCCGGAAGAATTCCACTAGGCTATGGCCTCGGGAAATCAATTCTGTTAGAAAGAAGCGCAAAGAGCCCTGGGCCATCGCCAACCGGGACCTCCAGGTTCCGGATCCCGAGCCCCCTGAGGAGCGGACACGCGGGGGCCGATGGGACGCGGCGTGGTGGTGGTTGGGGGGCGCGGGGCGCCTAGCGATTTCTGGCCTGCGAAGTGCAGTAATTCGAAACAGTTCTCACAGTAGCGTCTCTGACTACTTAATGGGGAGTAGGGGAGGGTGGTCATTAAGCGTCCCAGTGATGCAGTGGGGAGAGGGAGGTGGACGCGAGGAAGTGGCCGAGGCAGCTGGGAACAGATCGGATCGCAGTCCCTGTCCTCACTCGCTGCTACAGCGCAGAAGGTGCCCTGTGGGGACTGAAAGGAGGGGAACAGACGGTACATTGGCCTTGGGCCTGCGGGTTCCTCTCCACCCCCTTGACCCAGACCGGCTTTGTCTCTGTCCCCTCTCTCCCCCAGGACTTTCTGCAGGGAGATTGCACCAAAGCAAGACAGAAGCTGAACTGGAAGCCCCGGGTCGCTTTCGATGTGAGTGTCTTCAGGCTCAGTCCGCCCCCTGGCCGCGGGGCCAGGCCAGGCGCCCCAAGTGCCCGAGGCCTGGAGGGCGGAGACGTTGGGTAGGGAGGGCACAGGGCTGGGGGTGGAGGGGGAGCCCGGAGCGAGGCGGGGCGGCCTCTCTGGGGGCGCCACCTGGGGTGTGGGGTGTCACCGCAGAGCAGCAGAGGCTCCTCCCTCACCGCCCACCCCGTGTCTCGTGTCTCGCTGCAGGAGCTGGTGAGGGAGATGGTGGACGCCGACGTGGAGCTCATGCGGACCAACCCCAACGCCTGAGAGCCTGCAGAGCCCGGCAGCCCCTCTCTCTGGCCTGTGCTCCGCGCGTGGGGTGGGGGAGTCGGGCTGGAGTCGGGCTGGAGCCGGTGGCGGCGCGGACACGCTGCGGAGGCCCCGCGAAGGCGCGCGAGTCGGGCCAGTGCCTGCGACCCTTGTCGCTGCTGCCCTGTCCCCGCTGCTGGCTGGAGCAGGGGCCACCGAGGTTTGTAGCAGCCGGGACATGACACTCCGGGATGTGGGCCGCTTTGCTTTTGTGGAAGCCTCCTCTGAATGGTTTTGTGAAATCAAGATGTTTTAATCACAGATTCACTGTACTTGAAATCATGTCTTAGACAACTTTAAATTGTGGGGCCTTCACATTGTTTTTCTCTTTTCTTATTAAAAAAAAAATGGCCTTTCTTTGAACTAGCTGGAACAAGAGTCGGTGTGCTGTTTTCTCCAAGTTATCACCGTAGTAGCTCGAAGGGTCTCAAAACAAAAGCACCCAAATCCAAACCTTGTCATGAAATCGCTTCCTTCAGGCTTCGCTTCCCTTTGAGGACGCCCCTGCTGGGAAGACCCCTGCAGGCCCAAGCCGGCCTCTGGGACATTTCTTTCCCCGGGGCCTACCTAGTAACAGTAGCCGCTCTGAACCCAGTTTCTGCAGAAGCGAGCAAGGCATGCACACCAACTCCGGTCTCTAAGGACCGAACTATCCTTAGCACCCCCCAACTGCCCCAGCGCCAGAGAACGCTTGAGAAAAGAGGGGCGTGAGAAGAAGAAACTGGAAAGGTGAGTAAACATTGCTAGAATGTTCCACGTCAAAGCCCCTGCGTTGCCCAGAGATTTCTGGGACTATTTTTCCAGTGGCCCAGGCGCTTTAACACAGTGCTTACTTCCCTATCTCCTTGTGATCAGTCCCCGATCATTTCAAATCTAGTTTTGGTTTAAGCCGCCAACCAGTTGCTAGGAAGTACCTAATAGCTATGCCATAGGTTGGATTAGTCTTCAACTCTGTCTGTGTTAATTAGAAGTAGAATAAAGAGTTTAAGACCCAGCCCCGGATCACTGGATCTAGTTTCACTGGCTACACCATATTTAGGTGACCTGGACACTACCGAATGCCAACACGCGAGCAAGCGTTTGTGTACAGGTGTATGTTGCATGAAATGCACCATTTTTGCCCCACAAATAAGGTCAAGCCTCTTATTCTCCCCCCCCACCCCCCTTACGAGCAAAATAAAGTGAACCCTAAAAGCATATGGAATCCCAGCCTTTGCCCGTGGGTGTGTGAGTGCAGGTGAACTATTTCTGAACGTCCTCCCAGGCAGGTTTATGGTCTAGGGGAGGACCCGGCTCCAACGGCTGGCCTGGCGCAGGAGAGAGGGTTCTTTGTGTGGCCGCCCCAGTCGCTGCTAAAGGGCCCGCTGGCGCAGCTTCCATGGAGCAGTACTGGGGCGGCCCAAGGAGCTGGCCCACCCGGTCGGCCTCAGAAGCTGCCCCGGGACGCGCCTTCTCTGGCTCCCAAGCGGGATGCTGCTAATTGGAAACAGATCGTCCCTTCGAGACTGGGCCTCCAGGATGGGGCGGGCTGGTGGGCGAGCACACACATACACACACACATACACACAGGCTCAAACACACACAGATACACTCACAAACATGCCACCTCACACTGTCACGTACCCTCACCCACACTTACAAACACAACTCCCAAACCTGCCCTCGCCACCCTCACAGATATTCAGATTCCGCTTAGACTTGACCCTGATGGGCAGGTCCCTCGTTTGCTCTACCCACTGGAACGTCTCATCCCAGAGGACCTTTGGGCCTGCCGTGACCCCACTGACTGTTCTGTGGCCTTTTAGCCCAAAGCCATAATAAGCTCCTGGGTAAGGACCAGCAGATACCATAAGCAAGGGGCTTAATGTGACCCAAAACTGCCATAATGGTAAATTATACTTCTCAAACGGACTTAGGACATCTGTTTTGTTTTCTCTTCTTTTTTTTTTTTTTTGGAGAGGTTTTTGCTATAGGCAAGTGTGCTTGCCCGAAAGACAGAGAGATAAAAAGCAAGAAATCATCCCCCAGGGGGATGGCCACACCGCAATCCCTTCTCCATTCTCCTCTCAGGATCTTGGGCACACACGCACACGCACTCGGCGTGTTTAAGCCACCCAGTCTGGGACTCGAACCGTGGTTGACTACGTGGGAGTTCAGCGACATAGCCATTACGCTAACTGCTGGGCCCTAGGGCATCTGTTTTTGAAGGAAACAAAGTATTTTGGGTTAGAACCTTTCCTCTATTCCTGCATCTTCAATTGTGGCAGTGAGGGTAGTGAAGCTCATTTTGGCTTCCTGGCCTCATTTGTGTGTGCACTTATGCACATGCGCACGTGCACACACACACACACACACACACACACGCGTGTTTAAAAGAAGGGAAAAAAAGAGATTTGCTTTAGTATTTTTCTGACTTTCTGTGCTATGAGAACATTTTAGTTGGACACCCTTCAAGACTGTTCTTATTAAAGGGTTTCTTCTAAAATCTCAGCGAACTTTTTCACTTCTGCTCTGCTTTCCTCTTTCCTCCTGCTCTATACGAATGGGCTCTCCTTTTAAGTGTTCTAACACATACCCTTTTTTCCTAATAAAAATTAAGTGAAACTCTTACTATACTTGGATACAGATGCAATGGCAACGCAGTCAAACCCACGCCTGTTCACCAGAGAAAGGAAAAGGTCCACGCTCAGAGGCCTCACATTCCATCGGAATCCCCTGCCAGACCCTGTTCGGGCTGTATCTGCTGCCCAGTGTCTTTAAGGAATTATGACCCTCATAATAAACCTGTCACACCTCTGCAGCTGTGTCAGGGCTCGGGGAAGTGCTGAAGTGCTTCAGATGATAATGCTCCAGGCAAGATGGCTTCTCAGGAAGCCTCAGCTCAGGTCTGGATCAAGCACCAGGCAGGGTGGGTCCAGGGCTTGTAAACCCCTACAGAGAAGCACACAGGGCTCCCTGCCTCCCCTTTAGTCACCTTGACCAGCACCAGCTCCTATGAGTCCCATGGAACCACTGGCAGGCAGTGAGCCACTGGCAATATGACTTTCCTGTGTCATTAAACCTCAGAGCAAGAAACAACTCTTTACAATTTCATTTTGAAATAACCTTAAATACAGCATTTACAAACAACTGCCGTAGGCACTTTTCATGCTAAAGGTTGCAAAGTACCCAGGCCCCTTATTTTCACTGGTGAATTCTAACCTGGGTAGTCTCCTCCATTTGAAGGTGTCTCCCAAAGAGTTCAAGTTCAAATACCGTGTATCTTTCAAGACCTGCACCTGATTGGTCAGCCGATGGCATGGGTTGGGAGTGGGGGACCTCCCACAGGGTTTTACAAAACAGAATGTGCATGTGTTGGTGGACATCTTACAAACAGATTTGCACCTGGCAAAAAGAAGACAGCCTGTCTGCATGTTTATAGACGGCTTATAGACCTGCACCTTTCTGCACGTCATCCCCACCTATCCAAAACCAGCGGGTGTTCATCACGAGGGGAGCTGAGGGTTTCCACAAGCAGCAGGGACAACTAGGACGCAAAGAGGTTCTAGGAGTTGGCCCACCCTTCACAATCCGGTTTTCTGTCTGCGATATCTTCTGGAATTGCACAGGGTCTGATCCTCTGTGTGTGTGTTTTCCTGGGAATCGGGGCACCACTGTTCTGTGCCAAGTGGACTCCAGTGCCCACATCCCTGCAGCCCCCCCAGCTTCACCTCAGTCCCCCATGGGTTCTTTGAGCACATTTCCAGGGGGTGTGCCATTGCCAGGAGGGTTATTACCCACGACCAGACCTCGGAGCCCTCTGGCTCTCTCCAGCCCAGGAAGCTGCCACCCCCAGACTCCAATGGGTCTCCCCTGGAGTGTGTTCTATGTCTCAAACCTTTCCCAAGTGCTGGTTCTGAGCAGGACAGCAAGGCCCCACCCCACCCTGTACTGCTTCCTCCAACGACAGACCTTCTCGATGAGAGCCAACGACCCAGTCCTGACCCCCAGGCCCTGCCCTCTACACTCAGTCTCCCGCCCTTCCTCCAGGGTCAAGGGTCACAGAGAGCGGACGCCCCATTCTCAGCTGCCCCTTTGATCTGTGAATTCTGGTCCAAGTTGCCCACATGAGAATGCAGCCGACGTGCACGGCCACTGGTACCGGTACCGGGGCCACTTTTCTGTCGCATTGAAGAGCCCCAACGGCAGGATTCGAGGCCTGGGTTGGCCTGCGTTCCTCGCTCTACGACCTCGGGCGAGGCTCAGTCTCCGAACTTGCGAACTGGGGCCTGGAAGGAAAGCGCCTGCTGTTGCTCCCACCGACCTCAAAGGCGCGTCCTCCGCGGCGTGCGTGCGCATGCGCCGGCCTCACCTCTCTCGGTGTGCACGTGGCCGGGCGTCTGCAGCCCAGAGCTCCCGAACCCAGCGCCTGGTGGAGAGCGCGAGCGGAGGTGAAGCACCGCGGTTCATGGAAACAAAACCTTCGTCTGCAGCCCCAGCCTCGCCAAAGCGCCGGTGCACGCAGGGCTCCTGCAGAGACCAAAAGCTCTCTCGAGCAGGCGGGTGGTGACTGGGGGAGGCAACCAACCTGGGGGCTCCAGCGACTCCCTTCGCTCCGGGGGAGCTCCTGAGCCCCAGCCGGCCTGGGAGGAAGCCGCACAGCCCGAGGCCCGGACTGCAGTGGAGGCCGCTGGCGAGGGAATGTATATTTGGAAGGGGTCAGGACCTCGGCTGGAGTCTGGCTTTTTATGGCGAGGAAGCCGACTGGGAAGGGCCTCTGGCGAGGCCTTCCTGTTGTGCCACTTTGCCCGGCAGCACCGGGCGCGGGGACTGCGCAGCTGCCCGGGGCAGGGAGGGAGGCTTTTCCCGGGGCTCACGGGCTGGGGAGGCCTGCCTGGCAGCCAGACCACCAGGACAGAGGAACGCCATGTTACTCCTTTGTCACCAACACTCGCTCTATGCCACTACCCTGCACTCCCTTACAGGACTTGGAAGCCCAGCTGGAGTGTGGGGAGTTGGGGACGCAGGGAACCCTGTCCCCCAAGGGTCCAGGACCAGTGACTCTGGTCTTCAGCCCCTGAGCTCTCAGGAATTTCTTGCACCAGACTGCTCTTGGCTGTGGGAACCAGGTTGAGACCTCTTCCCCTAAGCTCTCCCTGACATTTAGGGGGACGCTCCTGTGGCGCCCCCCTCGCCCTGGAGCTAGCCCCACAGCCCTTCTCTCGCCCTGATTCACTGCCGCTGCCAGGCCAGCCTTGTCCTCGTGAGTCCTTAGTGAGTGATAAAAATGATCTTCGGGATCAGGAGAAAGCCCCCGACCCATTCCGGTCCAACCCTGTGGTCGCTGCGCTCCTGGTGCTGGGGCTCCAGGAAGGCCCATGGAGTGAATCCTGC